ATGAAAAGGGGGGATGGGTATGAAGCTAGCAACTTTTCTTGAGTGCAGTAGCTAGTTTTCAAGCGACGTCCTTCAAGGAGGATCGGTGAAAAATTTTGTATTGAATTTTTTTTCTTCCTAGGTTACTTTATATAGATTTAAATACCTTTAGATTTAGATTTATATCCTTATTTTCGATTTTTTTTTACATGGATTATAAGAAAATTTTCACCAAAAATACATTTTGTAGAACATGAAAATGATAGTATGGTGTTGGGTATGGGAAAAACGAAAATTTAAGAAAAATAAATAAAATTAAGGGTTTAGACGCAGGGAACTGCATCCTAAACTCATGCCCTTACGCAGGCCCAAGGCGCAACAGAAGCAGTGGAGGCCTATGAGGTTTAGGGATTGGGGACTTCGCCACTACAATCCAACCTTCCACAGGCCGAGATGACTCACAAAGGCATTTCAACGTCTATTTGGCCACCATCGTGTGAAGGCCTGTGAGGTTTAGAGTTTGGGGGTTTCGCCGCAACAGTCCAACTTTCTAGGGGCCGAGAAAACTCATAAAGGTATTTCAGCATCTCTCTGGCCACCATCGTGCAATTCACCAGCGCCAGGAATCAAACCCAAGACGTTCCATGTGGAATACGGGCCTGAAATTCATTCCCAACCATTGGGTCACCCCATGTTGGTTACGTGCTTATTTTCAATTAAATGTTGATTAATGTACTTATTTTCTATTGGCGACATATCATTTGATTTGCAAATATAGTTTAAAAGTTTGGTTTATCTAGCATTACTCTTTTCACAATTGTATCCAGTAGAAGAAAGGTTTTACCTACTCCACTGACTCATCGATGATAATTAAATCAGAATAATTTGGTTTTGTGATGATGCCCTAATTTCTAAGCTAACACAATTATGGGTACTAAATACTCAGATTTAGTAAAATAATCTTTGATTATGTGACAATGTAATCACATTGACCACGAAATCCTTTTTTAAAGAAAACATTTATTACATTAAGGAGAAGAAGAAAGTTTGAAAACGTGGAGACTAAACAAAAAGGACCTGGATTATCTACCCTCCTCATCTCATACCCTTCTCATATCCTCCTATTTCTGTGGTCACAGTTAAGCTACGTCAACATTTTATATTCTCATTACTTTTTGTCTTATTTTATATTCTCATTGCTGTTTGTCTTATTATTTTATAAAAAAATCAATATAACATATCGATCAAGCAATCCACCATTTTCGACCAGTAAACATAGTGTGTAGGGAAAATATAAAATAAAGCTTGTTCATTCATCCGTCACCACTCACGCCATTTGGGCGACTCTCTAACCCCAATGAAAAAAGAGTAATTTATTGGAACGAGTTCACCGACACATGGCATCTCGATTCAATAATACATTGTCATATAGAGAAAAATTTGCACATATCAATGCATTATTGGACAAAGAACACCACATATGAAGATAACTCCATTGTATGTAAGTAATTATCCTAATTGGGGTGAAGTGCTTGCTTCGGTTTGACCCATGTTTGTTTGAGCGTTGCTCTTAAAATAAACTCGTGAAACAGCATTAAACAAATAGTCTATAACATATAGGAATAATGTTATTTAGACATATAAAACTAACTATACTATTGATTTATTGGTGAGTATCACATTTAATATAATTTTTTTCCATTAGAGTGTCAACAATGTCATCTATTTTGTGTCATTGTGTGATTTTGCTGAACTATCCTCCCCATAGTATAAAAATATCGATGTACTCAAAGAAAAAAAAAAACATTAGCAGTTGGCTCAACTAGAGTACCAATTGAACCAGTCCTAGCTATCATCCTTCTTGTTTCAAGGATGTGTTCCATAAACAACAGTCTCTCAAAGAAAAGTAAAAAATTTCTATTCACCAAAAATAATAAGGAGCCGTTTACTAATTATTTTGTTTTTGCTTTTTTAAAATAAAAATTTAAAAACTGAAATTTTGTTGGTAACTACTTTTATTTTTCAAAACACTGAAATTGAAAGGAAAAATTATACATAGAGTATACTTTTAATACTTAATTGTATATTGTGTCAACACTTTTTAAACATTACAAGAAGAGACAAAAGTTAATACATGTGAAATATGACATCATTACCTTTTTTTTCTTCGGAGTGTAAGTTACAAAATTACTTTTTATAGTAGAAATTTTTTTCACACTTTTATCTCTTCATCTATTGCTTTGTGCCAGGTGGTGTTCCCTACCAATAGAAATTTTGACATCTAAATCTTCATTTATCTCTTTTTAATCAAATAAATTTTTAAAAGCTAGAAGTCTAATAGTCAAACAAAAACAAAAGGATGTGAACTTCCCCATCAAGCACTTCTACAACTTGCTTTCGAATTCCATCATATTTCCTATTCGTCTTCGAATTCAATCTTGTTTGTCCATCACTCACCCTTCACTTTTGAATAAAAAACCGCAATCTAAAAAGAGAGGAAAAAACTAACGGAGTTGAACTTCTAAATCCCAAAGCATGCTGGGCCCAAACCCAATTATCCCTCTCTCTCACGTTTTAATTTTCTGGTGGTAAATTTTGTGAGGATTTCTGAATCAGTGAAAAGATTTACAAAATGAGTAATTGGTAATGACGGTAAGAGTTGACGGTGGAAGTACAACTCCGTTAAATTAATTTGTTTTCCGTGCATGATTTAGCATCTCAATTATCAAGAATTAAAGATATAAAAGAATATTTAGATGTCAAATTTCAATTGGTGGGTACACCACCTGGCTTTTGTGTTGGGAACCCAAAAAAATTTCTCCACAGTGAGCTCGCATTTGTGTCTTCGGATGAATTGATATTGATATTATCGATAAATGGTTTTGGTTTGGGGTACTATTCAGGCAATAAGCATTGCTAAGAAATCCAATAAATGGTGTGGGTTTATAGTCACAATTTTAAAGAAATTTTGGTTGAACTAATTCTGCAAAAATGGTCGAAAACGAGTTGAAATAATTTTGCAAAAATGGTCAATGATGGGTTGAACTGATTCTGCAAAAAATGGTCGAGGACGAGTTGAACTAATTCTACAATAATTGTCAAATATGGGTTGAACTAATTCTGCAAAAATGGTCAATGACGAGTTGAACTGATTCTACAAAATGGTGGGTTTAATTGATTATGCAAAAATGATAGATGATTTATTGAACTGATTCTGCAAAAATAATTGATGACTGATTAAACTAATTTTGCAAAAAACAGTCGAGAACGGGTTGAATTGATTATGCAAAAATGGTTGAAGACAGGTTGAACTGATTATGCAAAAATGGTGGTGGACGGATTGAATTGATTATGCGGAAAAGGTGGGTTGAATTGATTATGCAAAAATGATCAATGACTGATTGAACTAATTCTGCAAAAAAAGGTCGAGGACAAGTTGAACTGATTATGTAAAAATGGTTAAAGACGGGTTGAACTAATTCTGTGAAAATGGTCAAAGATTGATTGAACTGATTTTGTATAAATAGTTGAGGATTGGTTGAGCTTATGGTACATATTAATTTTGTTGGAGTTGGGAGGGTTGGGTTCTATAACAACCTTAAAGCCTTGGAGGTATGACTGATATTTTAAAACATTGTTTCCATGTTTTTGGGCTGGGATTTAGTTGTTTTTATGTTTTTGTCTTTCATTAACATGTTTAAAAACTAGTGGAGTTCTTTGAAATATAGTGATTTTTTTTTTCTCTATATATAAAGCTCCCAAATTGAAAACTAATTTCTTTATTTTCAAAATTTGGCCTTGAGTTGCTACTTAATACTACGGTCTAGTGATACTCCTCTTTACTAGTAAGTGATAAGTTTTAGATTTGATTCTCGTCAAAGACAAATTTAAACCACATTATTGCTAACCCATTGTGAAACTTACTACCCCACCCTTTTAATGAAGATAATATCGTTTGGGAGAACCTTGTGGTGGGGTGCTTTAGGCCCTAATTTCTTATTGGCCAAATTAGATTATTAGTTCCCATGGTGACAGGGTAGTTCGAAGATAGCCCTTGTGGTAATATAAAAAAAATAAAAAAATAAAAAAAACTAGGATTTAAGCCTCTGTGGTGAAGTTTGTTATGATTTATTCCCAAAATTGAAAATACCGTCAACTTTATGTTAATTATTAGCACCTGATCCACCATATTAGGTTAAAACGGAACTCTCTATTAATTGTTAGTACATGGAGTTGGCTCACGTGCCAATAATTAACTAAAAGTTTACAGAATTTTTAATTTTGGGCATCAATCATAACAAACTTCATTACATGAGCTTAAATCCTAATTTTTTTACCACATGATTATCTTCCAGCTATCTTATCATCACGAGAATTATTAATCCAATTAAGCCTTTCTTAGTAACGGCGGAAGATACCAATGTTTCTATTTGAATTTAATAAATCAAATCCTATCTTTTGAAAAAAAAAACTTCAAAGGAAATGACAATATCATCCATGTCCATGTTAAGCAATACTTCTACAAAAGGGGTGTGATATCCACACACTCCATTTTACTTCTCACATACATTTCTAATTTTCGACCGTCAGATCGGATGAATTGAAGAAGATCAACGAATAAAAATTAACAAAAAATATGTGAGAAGTAATTTAAAGTGTATAGATAGCACACCCCTACAAAAATACGCTTGCCCATGTCCAAAAACAGCAAAAACAAAATAAACAGATAATGATTAAAAAAAATCTTAACAGGCAGCCCGCACGTGCAATCGCAGAATTCCCAAACGTCCTCCGTGTGGTCCCCGGTCCCCACCACCACATTCTCAACATTCCTCCTCCCGTTCCTCCTCTAAACCGGATAAATTACCTAATCATTCATTTTTCCCGTTAGTTACAGTTAACTCCCCCACGTGCGCCTTAATCCCTCATTAATTAATTAAACACTCAATTAATTAATCTCGATTAACAATCACTATATAATCACTCAGCTCCGAAACCAAACACCCAGAGGATCACACGCACGACCTCCCACATTCCCCTCCTCTTCGTCTTCTTCCTCTTGCCCCCTCCTCGAAACCCTAATCCAGGTACGACGTCGTCTAGTTCCAGTAATCTCTACATACAGTCTCTGTATTTTTATATATGTAAAGGTTTCGAGACTAGCAGAAAAAACAAATAAATGCGATCGGATTTATTTGCGATTTCGCTCTGCCATTTCTGTCGCGTTTGGAGCTGTTCTCTCCGTAGAGCCAACAATGTCTGCCATTTTTGTGCGCTCTGTGTCCTTGTACCTCTCTGTACCACTGTTTACAGCCTGTTTGTTTTCTCTCTCTCTCTTTCTCTCTCTTGCTCCGGTAATTTCGCTCCACAAAACTTTCCCGGAAATACCACATTTTCCCACACACGCAATTGTATCTCGCTCGCTGCAGCGATTCGGCACCGAGACGCAGCGTTTTCCTCGACAGTTCGGAGAGGAAAAGTCTTGGTTTCCTCTTTTGTGAAAACACCTAGCTCTCTGGCCGCTCTGGCGCTCCAAACATCAAATCGCCGTCGTTTTGCCTGTTTTGAGCCTACACGAAAAGCCTACCGTGTAGCCTCTCTAGCTCGGTCGTCCTCCCCGTGAGTCCTTCCCACTTTGTGCAAGTCAAATCTCAGCCCTCACAATCTTTCTCTCTCTCTCTCTCTCTCTAAATCGACGGCTATTGTTATTTTTGACTGATTTATCTGATTGATTTTTGATGTGATATAATTTCATCGATTCCTTCAACCTCTCACGTGTATTTTCTTCACTGCAGACCTTCTAAGCTTGCTCGGTAACTCGTTCGTCGACTCAGTACTCTCGCTCTCGCAACCGAGTTCGTTTTCAACTCGACTCACTCACACGATGACGAAACGGCCAGTCGTTGCGGTCGTGGCGTCGCTGCTTCTCTTCGGAGTCGTGGCTGCAGTCGTGCTGGTGCTCGCGCTTGGATTTGACGGAGGTACGTGTACGGACGACGACTTGTCGTTTGGATCCTACCGCCGAAGATTCACGCAACGCACATCATTATTTGTTTTTATGCGTAGATTCCATATTCCTATGGAAATTATTGCTTTTGATCTTTATATTTTAATCTGCTTTTTTTTCGTTTTTGCTTTTTGTTTGTTCTTGGCATCTCTTTCGCAAACACAAGGGGTCCATGTGTTTGTCATCTCTTGAATTTTAAATTTTAATTAATTAATTTCTTGCCCAATTCTGTGTTATTTTCGCACTTTCCGCCTTATATATATACGTAATTTTTTTTTTAATTGATGATTTTTTGTTTTTGAATTTTGTTTGCAGCTGGAAATTTGAAGTCTGAATTGTCTGAAGCTGGGAACTCCACACTCACCGCAATCCATCGCAAGCTGCTTATTCGTGGTAAGCGATCAATTTTTAATTAATTCGTGATAATTAATTTAATTTCTTCAATTAGTTTTTTTTATATAATATATTTCCATCATTTCTTGATCATTCAATTTTCCATGAAATTGTTTATTTATTGGGGAATTTAAATGCATGGAGGTCTGTGGATAAATGTTTTTGATTGATTTCAATTTGAATTTTTCGTAATTTTGTTTTTTCTAAAATGGTGATGCTGAGACAAACCAGAATTCGTTACCCATTTGTTCGCAAGTGAATATATGGTCACTGTTTGTTCAGATGGAGTGGGAAATAGGTGTCAGAAGAGCACGCCCTTAAGGGGTATATGCTAACGTGCACCGTTAGTCCTTGACCCCTCTTTGGCAATACTTGCTGCTTTCCCATGTGGGGTATCTTTTATATGGGATCTCAATTCTTCCAATATTTTTCATTCCCTCTTTTGTGTCACCCATTTGAATCAAAAGTCTTTGCATAAAAATACACACTGTTGAAGAACATTATATGTACATTCGTTGTTTTGATTACCTAGTCATCAGTGATACATCGTTATTTATCGTTGAATTTGATAATGAGCGGTCATATATTTAGTGATCATTACTCATTAGAGAACATTTCTGTGCAAATCATAGTTTACGAGTCTCTTTTTTATTTTGCTAAATGGAATTGATTTTCACAATCTATTCTCGTTTCTCACATTTTCTTGGTTGCTTTTGTTTCTTAAATTATTTATGTTAAATTCTGAGGTGGTAAAAAGTTTATGAAGTTAATATTAAAGACTCTTTCAAAAGTGAAATTCGTCAAGAATTTTATACTTTCTCAAAGTGTAACATTAATTCTCGTGTTAATATTACAAAATATTGTGATAAAAATACGAGTTGTCAAAAAATTCATAAATAATCATTTTTAAAAAAAGTCACGCATTCTCAATTATTTATTCAATTATGCTACTAGAAACAAGAGGAGGAGGGAATAGAAATTTGGAAATGATTTCGCGTACATATAAAGCCCTACTTCACTTTCATAGCTGTCTGTCAATTGCTGCATATAATGAATGCGAATTGCGTTTTGTCTTTTTCTATTTTCCTGCAAAGTAAATGTCGACACATGGAAAATGCCCTTATGTGAAGTGAAAGAGCGTCTTGACGAATTGTCTTTGCTTTTTTCTGAAAGAGTAATGCAGGCAAACAAAATATGTAAGCTAAATTTTAAAAGCTAAATGATAAGATAGTTGATGATTGAAGTACTACTTAAATTTTGATTAACGTTTTGATTGATGACACATTATTTTATTTGTAAATTTAATCTATAAATTTAATCTCTCTATAACATGTTTTTGTAAATATAATCTACAAATTATGAGTAATAATATTCATATCATGTTTTTGTACTATATTTTCATACTACCTTAGATAGCATTTGATGTGAATAACTACATCATTTGAATTAATAAGATTTTTAAATTTAGTTCATTATTTAATAAACTAATAATTAAGAAAAACTAGTTAATTAAAAGAAGCATTTTTGCTTACCACCATTTAGTGTGGTGTATCATCACCATCCCAGTTATCACCGTTAGATGAGTTTGAATTTCGAGATTGGTGTAGTGGATAAGCACAAATCTCAATATTCAAACTCATATAACGGTGATAAATATGGTGGTGAGCATACACTACACTAAATGGTGATGAGCAAAAATGCCTCTTAATTAAATGATGATTGTGGTATACGAGGAATGTTTTTCCTTTCTTTCTTTGAGTTTTGCAAAAATTTTAAATGATTTAGTTGTCCACATCAGATATCACCTAAGATAATATAAAAATATAATATGAATAGCATTACTCTTTTATCATTATTTTTTTCGGAATGCTAAATTGCCAAACACAAAAAAGCTAAAGACATCGCTGAAAAGCAAAACATGAATAGGTGATACATTGAAAGCAGAAGCTTTGATAGGTCCCATCTCCATTAGCCATTTTGGGTTTGATCTGTCTGTGTTATAACTTTTCGTGTATAATCCCTGTGACTCATCTAGAAAAAGTGTGTTTTGTCTACAAATGCTTTCCCCAACCCTTTTTGTCAAGAGAGATTCTTGGCCAGCGGCAGTGACTCGTCACTTCTTCACTCAGTATACATATTAAACGAACTCTCTTGTATTCGCGTTCACCAAAATGAGTGTAAGACTCGAATACAGAGATCATTTAGCAATGCGGACTTCGTTGCATTAAGGTCACCAAGGTAACTACGTTTAGAAATCGAATACAAAGTTGCAGTTGTACTCAAGAATTTCTCCAAATAGACGGTTGGTTGGTTGGTTTGTGCGACCATTTTAGTGTTGTAACCTTTCACTATCTGAACCTTATTATGATTAAAGACCCTAATCATATATTTTTGTTTTATTTTCCTTTTCTATATTAAAGTGTGTATGTTTATGTCATCTGCTTTCCTGTTTTACAGCGACAGCAATGGAGGAACCAAACAGGATTCGGGGAGACAAGTGCAGCAGGGCAGACGTAGTGATAAACCAGGGCCCCACATCCCCGCTGCCAAGTGGCATCCCCACATACACCGTCGAGATCATGAACACGTGCGCCACCGGCTGCGACATCTTCCACATCCACGTCGCCTGCGGCTGGTTCAGCTCCGCCCGCCTCGTCAACCCCAAGATCTTCAAGCGCCTCCGCTACAACGACTGCCTGGTCAACGACGGCAAGCCCCTTGTCAGCGGCGGTACGGTGTCGTTTCAGTACGCCAACACTTTCAGCTACAAGCTCTCGGTCTCCTCGGTCACGTGCCGTTAAATATGGTAGTAATAAAACAATCAGTCGCCTAATTACAATAGTTAACACAAGAAAAAGACAGAAATATATTAAAGCACCCAAGGCAGGATTAAGTATCTGGTATCTAAATACCCAATTTGCCCTTTCTCTGCTTTTGCTTTATATCGTGGATTAGAGTGGCAAAAGCTGAGATTTCTGAAGATGGATATGGGTAAAAATGTCACGGCGGTGTCACGGACGGAAGGAGAATATTTGGGGTTTATTTTGTATATAGTAAGAATAGTAGTATAGTGGCAGAAATATGTGATGGGAAAATTGAAAGTTGTGTGTTGATATTGGAGGAGGAATGTTTCTGAAGAATATATTGTTTGGCAAACGAGATTTTATTGCTGATGCTTTTGAATCTTTGCTTTCTGATTGGTTTGTCTCGGTATTTTACTTGAGAAATGCCAAGAAGATTCTCTCAAGGTGTGGCTTTTTATGTATCTTCTAATAGGGGTGGGCATCTTTGAAGCATGGATACGGATACGGCAATACGATACAACATAACATGATGATACGGAAAATTTCTAAAAATTAAGATACGATACGCTATGGATATGACAAATAAAAATGTATATAGAAACAAAAATATACATTTTAAAACATAATTCATCATTCAAATTTAAGTACATTTGAGTTGTTAGAGAAGAAAAGTTCGAAATCTAATTCTCTATACAGTAGAATAAGTGTGAAAGTCGTATTCATGATTTTAATTAGAGGGAAACTCTTTGTATTCAACAACTTTTAATTATAGATGTCTCCTATTAATTTTCTTCTCCTCATTACCTTTTTTCAAAGTGTAAATGTATCCTAAATGTTGGATTTTACGTGTATCCTAAATGTTGGATACGCGTATCCATCATGTCAAATTCGTGTCCATCAACCAGGATATGTGTTGGACGAGTATCCGAGAGTATTAGGCAAGTATCGTATCCGATCAAGTATTGGATACGAGATACGAGACCAAACAGAAGTATCCGTGCATCATAGGTGGGCATAAAAACTGCAAAACCGCATCGAACCGTATGAAAAAACCGAAAAAAACGTGTTGACCGGAAAAGTCAACTTTGAGTGAAAAATCGAACCGGACCATTCAAATCGGTTCTGGTTCTAATTTCAAATGATTAAGAACCGATCGAAATCGAACCGAATCGAACCATTTTATTAATAATAAATTAATTAATTATATATATACACACATGTCATGGTATAATAGGTTGAAAAATTGGTTGTACCAAATTGCCCAAATTGCAAAGCAAAGGATCCCATCCCAATTAGGGTTCACTTTCACTCACTCACACGGCTGCACACACACCCCATTCCTGATTCCCCTATTTCACACAGCCGATCGACGACCCTCATTTCACACAGCCGATCGACGACCCCCATTCACGACCTCTCATCCTCAACTGCAACAGCCCTCATCATCCCTCCTTCGCGACAGCTCACGACACTTCGTCCTTCGTCCTCATTCCTTGGTATTTTCTCTATCTATATCTAACCGTACATGCTTAAAATACTTGGTGAAATTGCAAAGATGTGCGTTTCTGGGTCATCTGTGCATATGTTGGTTTATGGTTAATCGAGTTTGCAATTTGCAGCCCAATATAGAGATTTTTTCTCTTACATGCCCACAAGTGAATGTGTAACCTATGCTACTGAATGCTGATGTCGTATCCTATGAGCTAATGTTTGTTGACGATGTTAGGGCATTTGGAAAGGAGTGTTGTGATGTCATTCGTGTTACTGCTATTTGAGATGTGGATTCTTTGTCTATAGTAATGGTAGCTTCTTTTGCTAGCTTTCTATGTGACTATTTAGGCCAAGATTCTACATTTTGGGTATTTTGGTTGTGAACTGTTGATGCTCTCTGCTTGTAATGTGTAATCTTTTTTCGTCAAATGAAGTGGAATATGATGCTTTTGTAGAGTGGTAATTGCTCCTCGTTAATACTTATCTCCTTGTATCTTCCCCTCTGTCTCAAATCTGTTAGCTATTGTTCCCTTAGTTGATGTCTTCTATGTTGAAAATTAGTAATATCTTGACAAGCCAGAAAAGAATTTGATGCATTTGACGAACATGAACCAACTAACCAAGTGTAGAAGACAAACTTAAGGATAATGTTAGACCTACTTCTACTTGAGCTTGCTGACAGATAATTGACTTTGTATGTGCAACTTATCAATGGCATGGGCTCGTATTTTCTTTCGAATTGCTTTCTTGACGTCTCTGCCGCTAAATAAGAGGTTTTGTGATGTTGCCATGTTGTCACTGACTTCCTCTTGTTTTTCCTTGTTTTCCTTTTTTTTTTTTTTTTTTGCTCCGTCAAATTCCAGTGGCTCCAAAGGTAATAGATTTGAAGATAGTTGGTCATCTAAGGGAGAACAATAAGGTTATTGCAACCGGTACTGTCACTGGAGGAACTGAAGGTCTAGCAGAGTACAAGGCAAGGTAGCATTTCGATTTTTGGATAATTATTAAAGACAAGGTAACATTTCGATATTTCAGTTGCTTAGGCTCTCTTGTTTTCCATGGATTCCACTTCAAGCACATCCAAATCCCTTCTCTTTTTTTTTTTTTCCAAATTGTCCATCCAAATAGAGCCTTATAGTTCCCTGTTGAAGCCACCTTTTTTTATTGCATTGCATGAACATTCAAACTGCTTAGGCATGTATGTTTTTGCTTAGACATGTATGTTTTCGTTGATTTGAAATAAGTTGTTTGATTCTGCTTGCTCTCTGGAATTAGTTGTTTGATTTGATTAATTGTCTCTTTTTGTTGACTTGGTGCAACTACCAAAGACATTTGCATTAAAAAAATGTGTTGTATGCAACTTTATATAATCAATTTTAGAAGATGTATTTGAATGCATGATGATTTGGTGTTCAAATAATTTAGTATTCGGAACCGTAAACCGGGAGTCAAAACAGGTGTAGACCGAACCGTAAGGTTCTAGTAATAAGTTTAAGTGGAACCGCACTGAACCGAACCGTTGATATTTTTCGGTTTCGGTTTAGGGGTGAAACCACACCGAACTGCACCGTACCCACCTCTATCTTTTGTTACCTCACATTTTAACGTCAATTTCCACGCTAATATTATAAAATAGTGTGCCTGTTGTGAATAATATGTGGATGGCCCACATGAATAGTTTGTTACTAGCACAGTATTTTCACTATTCATTTGTGGAAAATTTGTAAAGTGAATAGTGCTTTCTTTTGTTTATATAAAGGAAGAAGAGGAGATGAAGTGATGTGGTTCACAGGAGAGAAAGGAAGGAAAAGAAAGAAAGAAAGAAAAGATAGGAAGGAAAAGGAAGAGAGAAAAGAGAGGAAGAGAAGAGGAGATAATAGAGAGAGTTATATTTGTACTCTTATTATTTTAGATTATAATGAAAGTACCACTGCTGCCCCAAGGACGTACTCGAGTCACACTGACTGTAGAGGAACCTCGTAAATTTTGTGTTTTGTTTCATTTATTCCACTGCACTCACCGTCGATTTTACAACACGTTATCAGCACGAGAAGCTCTCATGTCAGTGGAAAGCACAACGCCACAAATCATGTTCACCTCCTTCAGTTGGAATCTCACAGATAAGAAATTTTTTTCATTTCATCTTCAAATCTCAGTACAATTGATTTTCTTGAAGCAACTATATATATTGTTGTATGACTGTATATCATCATTTGCAGAAGCAAAAGAGTACAAACTCAAAATTCATAGAGAATTTGACAGCCATGTAAACAGCCTCGGAACTCCAACTTGCGGACCTCGGCTTGAAATAATTTCTTCTTGAAAGTTGTTGGTCTGCTCAGTATCTACAACATATCAAAATTTCAGAAAACTTTAACAGTGCGATCGTCGCAGATGTCTAAAATACCAAACCAGTTTCCAATTTCCGCAGAAAACTGGACAGCCACCTTATGAGTACCAAAACTCCATTTCGGTAGCTCAGATCGAAATTGTTTCTTCACGAAAGTTGTTCGGTATCCTCTTATCCATATCATACTAAAATTTGAACTAAATCTAATGGTTGGATTTTCTCATAAGTTACAGACACTCTTGACTCCAAAATTTATGGGAACCGTTTCGACTTTTTCGAAACTCACCGGAGGAGGAACACCAATTGGAACTTAATGTTACTATTATTTCCTGGATAACTAAAATGACTTCGAACTGTGAAATAAAAATAAAAATAAAAGGAATCAAACAAAAGAAGTGGCAGACCAAGAAGAAGAAAGAGCAAAAGATGAGGACTTAATCATTGCATTTTCTGTTTTGGCATATTTATGTGCATGATGTTGGTTTAAAGCCCATGTCACAAGTTCTATTTATTTAAAGCAATTTATTTACAGTGGGTATAATTATTACCCTTTGTTTTAAAGCTTTGATGAATCAAAGCCCTTGTCACAAGCTTTATTTACTTTAAAGCAATTTATTTACCATGGACGGTTTTACCGCCTATTGCTTTAAGTTTTGATGGTGCTGAATTAAAGCCCTTGTCACAAGCTTTATTTACTTAAATGCAATTTATTCATTATGGCTGGAATTTCTGCCTATTGCTTTAATTTATTTATTGTACTTATCTTTTATTACAATGAGTATATATAGGACCTAAAGTTCATTGATCAGATCAGAACTTTCAGTTTCTTGATCCTCATCATATAAAATGATTGGACCTGAAGTTCCATCACGCAAAAGGATCAGGTATGAAGTCCATTGATCCTAAAGATCAGGACATGAAGTTCCTAGATGAGTACCGTAAGTTTGAAGTGCCGCAGTGCCTCAACTTAATCGTAATAAAGGACATAAGAGTCTGAGTTCACAGACTATTAAATAAGGACCAGAAGTTCCTCATGTCCATACTCAACATGGTTTAGCAGAAGCATTCATTAAATGGGTGAAATTGATTACCAACGCTTTGCCCATGAAAACGAAATTGCTAGTTTTCTACATGGGGACATGTAAACTTTACATGATGCATTATTAATTCGGTTGAGACATGTTACCAACCATCAATATTTCTCAGTACAACTCGTGTTTGGGAACCAGCCAAGCATTATACTTTTACGAGTTTTTGGTTGTGTTGTCTATGTGCCTGTAAGACTGCCACAACGTACTGAAATGAGGCATCATCGCAGATTAGGCATTGATGTTGAACACCATCTATCATTCGATATCTGGAATCCTTGACTGGGGATATGTTTACCGCGTGGTTTGCGGACTATCATTTTGATAAGACAATTTTTCCGCCATTAGAGGGAGAAAATAACATCATTCCAGAAGAACGATGAGAAAATATCATTCCAGAAGAATGATAAGAAAATACCATTCAAGAAGAACGAAGAGAATTTGTCTTATTTTGATTCACGAAGCAAACAATGAG